TTTCATCGTGTTCAGATACGAAATATGATCATATTAAATAGGTACGCAAAAATTTGCAAAAAAAATATCGTTTTCATAAAAATAATATAAATCATGGACATTACTCACTAAAACTCCTTTTGGGCGTATAGCAAAAAAAACATGCTTTTGCATACAAATCCTAGCTCTACTTATTAGTTATAAGTTATCGTGGTTAATAATCTCACGGTGTATGTCTAGCTATTTCCATGTCTTACTTACAACAGAATCTGCAGGGGTAATGATTATTCTATCGAGGTTCTGCGACTAATGTGGCCGGTGTGAACGCATTTCAGGGGCTTCTGTTTTACTGCGAAATCCTTTCAACGATTTTATGAGGTACATGGCATTCTAAAAGTGCTAAATTCGACGCTGCACCCTCAAGTCAGAGGGAAAAAGCAAACCGGACAACCAAATCATTACTAAGTGTCTAAGTATGTCAGCAAATGACCAGGCCGAGTGAGACGTAAAAGTTACCTGATTTCCCCGTTAACATGACTACAACAAATACTACATTCGAAATCTTGCACTGTTCCACGGACGTGCAATCTTCACCTTCTTGAGTAGAAGACGACACGAGTGGATCGACTCAGCGTAACAACAAGGTGAGGTGTGACAAACTATTATTCGACAACAACAGTTGATTAAAGACGCATATGACAAACGACACCATGGTAGCGTTAAATTTGATAATATAAGTGATTGTGAATTGTGATTGCGAGGACAGCCATCCAAATTACAATTAAAGGACCGCGAACATCCACTCCAATTTGTTTTTTTTTAATATAATTAATGTACATGATACCGCACTTATTACCATCATGCCGTTTGTTTTTTTTTTATATATATATACCTATTCAATGTATTCGTTACTGCAATCGTATTCCTTGTATTATGCAGTTTTGTTTTTTTGAATATTTAATGTTGGTACATGATAGTGCACTTAATTTCATTATGCAGTTTTATTTTATATATATATATAAATAATGTATTTGATACTATAATACTATTACCTTCCAGGCAGTACATATGTTTCTTTTTATATAACTAATGTATATGAGATGAGCCTTCTTGTATTTGAATTTTGTGAATGTATATCTATTATTTTAATGTATGGGTATATGCTGAACTTAGAATTGTACTAGAGCTGAGGGCAGTCCTAAAGGTCAGGAAAGGCTAAATGTGTTTACTCGCCTTCTGTCTGTTCGAGTCCGTGTGCGTGACTGTAAGTTCCACGCTCGACATACCCGCCGAATTGTTAACTATGAACGCTCAATAAACTCAATAAGTTAAAGTCAATTAAGTATTAAAGTATCTAGTTTTTATTAGCATCAGCTTACAAACAATAGTTTCCAAAACTCATAAAAATAAAAAACTGAAATAGGTTTTTTTAGGAATCAAAATTTTGTAAATTAGATTAATGAATTATTAGATGTAACCATGGTTAGGTTTTTAGAAGATTAAATATTTGAATGTTTGACATATAATATTGAATTATCTGGTATGTTGATAGGTACTCAATTTGTTTAAAGCACGTGCAGTGGTTTCAAAACGACAATACTCCCTCCTCATCGGTCCCTGCTAGTTGCAACTACGTCATCTAGTGTCTACAAGGCCATTTAGGAGCATTTAAGGGGAGAATGGTGAAAGCATCCCCAGTTAAGTTGCCAAAATGTCGACATTTTGTTCACTTGTGAATTATTAAAACTTTTAAAATTTTAATTATTTAAATAATATATTATAATTTAATAAATATAGGTACCTACCTATATATTATGTATAATTTTTATTTATATTTTATAATATTTTCTTTGATATCAAAAAATGAAAAAAAGTGTTCCCAGGCAATAATTATCGTTTATAAAATATATGTTCTATCAATCTGGCATGGCACCCCAAATTCAAAATGTAGGGGTCACACCTACCTAAATAATTAGTAACCAATCCGTAACAATTTGTAACCACAAAATCAGAATTTATAACCTAATTAATTTGTGTTTCAATTTTGGGGTGCTAGGCTGATGTCAGCCTGGCACCTTGAATTCAAAATTACGAGGTTAAACCAAACTAAAAAAAAGTAACCAATTCATAACAATTTATAACCACAAAATCAAAATTTTTAACCTAATTAATTTTTTTTTCTCTATGGGATGCAAAATTTGAAATTTCAACACGAATTCTAAATTTCGAGGTCAAACCATACCAAATAAAAACAGAAACATTAGAAAAAAAAACTAACATTTTTATAACATAGAAAAGATATTATGTATCTAATTATGTTGTCGTTGTCTACAATGGTATTAGTGTATTACTTGTATTTAACTTGGACTTTTATATAATGTCAAAATTATTCATATATTTAATATAAATCGATATAAATGTATATTAAGCGTAACGATATTATTATGATTTGGACATGATTGTTAAAAAATAATAAGTAAACAATCAAAATAAATTATGCTTTACCAGTGGCATAATTAAGAATTTATTCTTGACCTGGGGTATTATCCTCATACATTTCTATTTTTTTGACAATTTTAGATTCTGAGCGGAGAGAGGAAGCTAGTGGTTTTACAATGATGTTAATTTTTTTTTTCTCAACAAAATTAGTACCGGAGGGTGCTTATATATGTAATATGTATAGTATTTTATCTTTTAGCAAATCAGCACTAGTTATGACCAGGGCTCGTAAGTTCATGCATCTGCATGTTTTTTTTGCCACACAGGAAAACATGCTAACTGAGATACAAATCCGTTTCATAACAATAGTAATAATAATATGAAGTTTGATAGTGCATGTTTTTGCATGTTTTGGGTGTAAAGTCATATTTGGCATATAGTTGATTTTTTACAGTCGTTAGTGCATATTATTTCATAAAAATATTTTTTAGACAAATATTTCAAAAGTTTCTTCCGATTTTGATATTTTGTTCCAATCGTCCAATATCGCATGGTAAATTATAACGGTTTTTTAAATTTTTTATTGAGTAATTATTTAGGTAATTAATAAAAATATAGAAAATCAGGCTTCTTACGATTGTAAAAAAAGTTCTACTTTACAATTTTTATAATAGGTATTTTTACTGTAAACCACTTCAATAAGCCGTATTACTTGAATTACGAAACCATGGTTTTATGCCATATTTTGTCTACTAATTGTCTATTTGCGCCCTCTTGTTGGAAAACATAAAAAAAACACTTATAAAATATATATTACTAAATTATCTCTAAATGAAAAACCTAATATTTCATTCCAAATGTTTTCATTGTTGGTGCTGAATAAGAGTGTAAACACATTAGACAACATTGACTACCTAATTAAAATTTATAAAGATGACAAAGCTATATTTGAACTTCACAAGTATTAATTTTATTTTTTTTTTTATTAATTTTGACTGTTAAATATATAAAAATTAAAAGGAATAAAATACTTTTAAAATGTATGGATTTATTCTTATTATTTTAAAATTTGGTCATGTTTTTTTTACATAATGCATATTTTGAGTGCATAATTTAAAAATGTTAATGCATATAAATGCATATTTTTGAACTTTTAAGTGCATATTTTAATGCATATTTTGACAATTTTTAGTGCATGAATGCATGCTTATTTATGCATTTTTTAGTGCATGAAGTTACGAGCCCTGGTTATGACCATTAAATTGGTACTTTTTTTCGATTTTCTAAATAATAGGGGAAAAACTACCAAAAAAATACGAAATATCGCTAAAAAAGGGGTCTTAATTTCTAACTCATTGTTATCACCATAGAAACGAATAAAATTAAAAAATGTCATTACGTCCGCTCAGAATAGTTTTTTTTTTATCGAATATAACATTGCATTCTAATCTTATACTGTAAAATTACACTATACTGTCCGAGGACCGAAGGGATGATGGACAAACAACCACAACCGCAATGCTGACCTATTCTTTTTTTTAATGTTTAGAGGATTTTAGGATTATTGACTTGCTGAGTCATTTTTAAAGTTTTTGAAACCAAATTTTTTTATTAAATTGAACTATAGCTATGGTAAGTAAATATATGATCTAAACCTATGCAAAAAAAAAAATTACATGTAGAAATAATTGATTTTTCAGCAGTTTAAGATAAAAATAATTACTCACCAATATCAATACACTTGTATTAAATAATTTAAAAAATAAACTTACCTACCCACCATACTAACTAAAGGTATTTTTACTGTCCTCCCAAAATTATTTAATTAGGTAATTATCAAAGAAAGAGTTTTCATGAATCATAGAAGGAATCTGGGAAAGAGCTATGGTGTGCTTATTTTAAAATTATCTCCCCCTCTCCCGTACATAGTGGATAGGTTAATAGATAGGTATCAGATATGTAGGTATTTACTATTTACCTGGACTCCGGAGCTCACTGACTAAAGAAGCACATTTTGTCTAGTTATTGTGTAAAAATATATTTAACATGGTTGTAATGAATATGGTGATTGGAAGAGGGTTCAAACACTTCAAATGCATTCGACACCCCCCCCCCCCACTCCCTTCCCCCTCAAAAATAAGTAAATAATATAACCAGTAGATAACGGTAAATATAATATAAAAAAAAAATCATTATTAAAAACTTAGTAGATACCTATATTTATTTATTACTATGTAAAACTATTTTTTTTTCAAAAACAACAATTGACTGAAATAATGAATGTCTCCCATTCAAAAAACTTCCCAATAAATGCTCTAAATTAAACATAAAACTGAACACGTATGGTATTTACAAAAACTATGGTTTTCATTTTTTAATATTGTGGTTTTGTATAGACAATTGGTGTCTACTAAATGTGTAGAAATTAAAAATACATGCATTTTATTTTAAATTAATTATAAAACTATTATTATTACCAACAATTATTACCTTGAAACGTTCTTCGAACAAAGAAAGTTCAGCCAAAAGATCAGTTAATGAGTTGGTTAATCATCTTGTGGTGTATACTCAGGACAGCTTGTTTATATACGAAGTTCAAATTTATGTTCCAAAGGATGGGGTAGTTTGTATCCAGCAAATAGTACATTGGGGTCTCTAAGTAATTGGCTATTCAAAAAAATAATAGTATATTATTATATTTTATTACAACACAACAATAATGAGTAATGACCAACTTCAATCATTATGTGGGACCACTAATAATCCATCATTCATCACATACTTCCTGATCATATTTCCCAATGTGTGATCTTCGTTTATAGAGAATATTGCTGCATTCACAACTTTTGTGTCCAATTCTTTGACGATTCTAAAATAATACTATTTTCCTTCACCAAATGTCTATGAAAATATATAATACTTATAGCAAACTCACTTTTTTTCCCCGTCATGCAATACAAATGGTTCAAACGTCGGTGGTGCGTTCATGTTTACTGTTTACATTTGGAAAGCTTAAATTTAATTTTAGCGTGGCCGTGGTGCAAGTGTCAAAAACCTGATAAATATAATCAAACCTTAGGTTCTGTTCGACGTATGATACAAATATCTGCCAAACGTTTTCGTAGATAGTTTGGCATAAGAGCGTAAACAACTAAGTGATTGTTGTACCTACGCAGCTCCACCATTGCAGCGTCCGGGGGTTGAGTCACTGCGAGGGTTGCGGCCTGTGAGTAGGGAGAAATTCAGGGTGGAATGGTGTTGTGGAATATGGACAGATCGATACACAATACGTACTTTGGTGTACAACGTTCTAACGTAGTATATTATTATAATCGGCCACCTTGGAACCATATTATAACCATTTTCTGATGTGATTGGCGATGGTGTTAATTGTCAATTAAAATTTCATAAATAATGTATGTATAGTATATACCAGCCCGCTTCCACTGTTCGTCTTTGTTACATGTACTATTTTAATTATTTATATCAAAAAATCACTCTTATTTTTATTTTCCTTTTTTACTATTTAACGAATGACAAATCGTCATCTGTGAATACGTCAATCAGACTGGGTTCATATTAAATAATGTATAGACAGTCTGTACCTATGTAATATGGAAGACAGTGAACCATGGACGTAGGGCTGACGGTATTAATTGTATTTGAAAATAATTTTCGGTATTACGGTATTGATTTCAATACCGGTTTGAAACGGTATACCGTAAAAACCGAAATAATTCGGTATACCGAAAAACCGAAATTATTCGGTATACCGAAAAACCGAAATTATTAAGTATATCAAAAAACCGTAATGATTCGGTAGCAAAAAACCAAAATAATAAATAAAATCGAGTAGGTACCAACATGTTTTACTTTAATATATAATATCGTTTCATGAATAAACAACTAGTTTCATAAGCACCTAACTAGTAACACAAGTGGTTTTTTTTAACGGTCATTACCTGGTCAATAGTCAATAGACAAGCGGTGGCTAACATAGTAACATAAATTAAAATGCAAAGATATATCAAGAGCCAAAAATTAAATTCATCATAATAAAGAATAAATGTTGGTTTTTGTTAATAAGATAAGTGCCATATGTGAGTTGTGACTATAACGCGAGCCACAAGTTGGCCACCCCTGCTATAGACTAGTTACCTTTTTAATTATTTTTTTTATTGTTTAACTGACAAAGCCGCTATTGCAATGCATCCATGACGCCGAGGTACCTATAAAAATTTGGAGCAACATAGCCTGCCTCAACGGTAGATAAGGTACTCAAGTTCTACTACTTGTTAAATTAACTTAACCAAATTCTTATTTTCTGCTGATGTCTTATAATAAACATTTGTCAATAATTTATTTTAAAGACTTAATATTACATTAACAAATTAAATACTGATATATCAAATGAACATGGTCAAAATAAACCTGATAATAATCTAAAAACAGTTGAACAATTTATTAAATTATTACTGACTGTCCCATGTCACTATTGCAGTTAGTACCTACTTAAAAATTATTAGTATATTCAATACAGAGCATAAACAAATATGTGCTCTTTACCAGGTAGGTATATGAACAGTTCACCAGAAAATCAAGTTATAAAAATAGGTTTTAGATAAATGAATAAAATATATTTAAAATTAACATAATTGTCATAATTATTAATATAAATAAAAAAAATTATAAAAACTAACTAAGTTAGTCTAACTTATATAATAACGTCGCGTCTTGCGAAAGTATAATAATTTTTTTTTTTTAAACAATATAACGGCAGTTATAATTATTATATAGAATTATGAAATGCTCTATAAGTCATCACTTGGAAACAAACTTAGCATTCATGGATAAAAAAATTAGCTTTTCAGCATGGTCTGGAGACAGTGAGGATCGGTGATCAGTAATGACATTGACAGTACAGCTAAAAATTCGTTCGCTTGGCACACTTGTGCCTCGTATACACAATAGTACTTTGTAGCCAACTTTGCCACAGTGGGAAATTCGGACTGAAACGTTTTCCACTATTGTAAGGGATTACAATTTAAACCAACACTTGGCAATGATAAATATTTTTCAAGTTCTATTTGATTCAAATCTTGTATTGTATTTGTTTCAACATGTTTACTTGAAAGGTTTCCCAAAAATGCAGCCAATCCTATAATATTGTAAGCATTCAGTCAAAATTAGTTATACATTTTGTTTATTATTTCAATAATTATTAGACTAACCACTAGTGTTTGTGTTTTTGTAGTGCTCATCAACTTCTGCTTGGTGTCCAATGTCGTCCATTTCTTGTTTAATTAAACTTATAATTAAATCTTTTTGAGGTGATTCAATGTAATGACTTCTGTATCTTGGATCTAGAAAACTTATTTTTTGTAAAATTTGTCTTGATTGATTACTATCATACCGTTTAAAAAGTGGTGTTTTAATTGCTGTTTTTATGTGGCCTTCTAAGTGATTCAACATTGTGTCTGAGGAGGTATCACTACTGACACCTGCATAGTGTTGTCTTCATCACTGTTGTAGTGTTGTTAGCATCAACTTCATTATTATTGAGGTAAGAGGTTATTTCACCAGTTGACAGTGCACATTGAGATGGAGTTTGAAAAAGATCTTCGGTATTACCATAATTATCACGATCTTCACCTTGGGTAAGATCACATGTATATCTTGGGTTACTGTTGTTTTTAAGTATAGATTCTTTAAGCTTTAAATAAATGGGCCATATTGAAGAAGCTGTCACTACTTGTTCAGAACTCATGTGGTCCTGTCTGAGAGTATAAAATATGTTCCTCTTACAACCATGGATTTGCATATAAGATATTATTAATTATTATTAGGGCAGAGGACTTGTAGCATTTGCATATTTTTTTTACACAATCATAAAAATAGCAGAGTACGAAACAAATATGTTTCATACTTTCACAAAGCTAGTATATAAATAGTACATAAAATAAACACAGATAAACCAAAACTTATTGCAACTATTGTAAGTTGTACTTAAAATATAAATAAAATATATTTATTAAAATAATACAAAATTAAAATATATTCATTTTAAAATGAATACCTACCTATTTTTAATGCATATTTTATATATTTAAGTGCATATTTGATGATTTTTTTAGAGCTGCGAGTCCTCTGCCCTAATTATTATATATATTTAAAAAATAAATTGTAACAATTTGTTTGTATTATCTACAAAAACTAATAATATTGAAATTGTGTTAAATAATCTTACGCTGAAGAAGAAGGTAAAGTATTTGACGTTGATGTTGATGGTGATGATTCATAATCAGTTTGACTCTGTAAATCAGTTTGTTGAGTATTAACTTCGTCTTAGTCAGTTTCATCAACATTATCACTAATAAACCAAAAACAATGTAATAAAATATACAATATCTATAACATATTTAATTGCAGTTTAAAAAATATAAAGCAAGTGTAGATCATAAATGGTAAATGATTATTATCCATACTTTGTAACAAGAGATTTGATATTTTTGAACTCCAAATGAATGTTTGGGTGGTGAGACCTCAGATGGGATATTAGATTGCTTGTATTCCCACCTTTAGCTTCAAACTGTTTTTTCCACTTATTACATTGGCCTTTATCTTTATTAATTTTACTAAAGTATATCCAAATTTTTGACTTTATTTGTTTTTTTAAAAAACACACGACAATTAGCAGCGGTGGGACAACCCCCCACCCGCTGCTATTACAAGCAAACTATATATATTACAAACGGTGGAGCTCTGCTCTCCCTGATTGCCTTAGGCTACAAATCAATTCTTAGCTAACGATTTACTATGGTGAATTCCGTTGGTTCACAGCCTGTCACACTCGTTCTTCTTCTTCCTTAACTGAAAGGATGTTTTCCACCATGCCGTAGAACAGCCTGAACCGCTCTTCGGCCTCTCTCAGGATCGCATCCTTCCCGTGATCGTCCGCCGGTAGGAGCTCGAAAGCCGTTCCGCAGATGATGTCTGGTACGTCATCGGTGCTAGGTCGATGGCCAATCCTGGCTCTCAGAAGGCTTCACGAAAGCCGTCCCAATGGGGGCAATCGAACAGAGTGGGTTTAACGGTATCTGATTCGCCCGAACACTGCCAGCAACGAGTGCTGGCGACCCTGTTCCAGGTACAATTCGAAGCAGCCGTAGCCCGTGAGTGCCTGTGTCATGTGGAACGTCAAAGGCACCCACGGGACAGTCCTTCCTAGCCATCTTGAAAGGTCAGGGATGACGCGGCGCCTGCCAGGCGACCATCGTGGTTTCTCTTGCCTCACGTTTCAAGACCGCCTTGGAAGGCCGTTGTTCGCCGGGCTCCATTGCGGCGAGCAGTCGGGATCCGATGTACTGCCTCTCCAGTCCAAGCAGATCAACGGGTGGCATGCAGGCCAAAACCAGGGCGGCCTCGTCCGACACGATGCGGTAGGACCGGATTACCCTCAAGGCGGCGGTCCTCTGCGGACGGATCAAGATCGCCCTAGTTCTGGCGACTTCTGTAACGGAAGGGATCCAGACGCGAGCAGCGTACAACAACTGGCTTTCCACAACAGACGCGAGCAGCCTCCTCTTCCACTGAGCCGATCCGCCTATGTTGGGCATGAGCCTGGATAGGGCAGCAGCTGAACGGGCCGCCTTCGCAAGTTAGTATTTTGGGTGGTAAAAAGTAAAAACTTCCCAGTTATTTTCAAACTAACCGGGAAAACGGGAATTTTACTCAAAACAATAGGTATTCAAAATTAGTTTTATATTTTTGTTGTACCTAACTCAAAAAAAAATTTGTTAGGCACATTAAAAAACATTAATTTTTAACCTTTTTAGTGTCATGATTCCTAAAATATGTTAAAAAATAAAGACCGTAACCTTACGACAACCCACCCCCTTCTTATATTAAAAATGAATTCAAGCTTTCATATATTTTACTAATTACTAAATATACTAGGTACATAATACCTTTTTTTTTACATTTTAATCGAGGAAGGAGGGTGGTTCAGTCATTTCACCCCTCCAACCCCATCGTTTATTGATAAAGTATTATATACAACTTTAAGGACAGTCCCCTGGCTTGCTGCCTGACAGTATAATAAACATGGTGTTCGGAACACCGATAAGAATAATATGATACGATACGATACGGCAGTCGTCCGTCGATACGAACGATTAAGAAATTTAGTATACGAGAGACCTCGAAGATTAACGGTCGATCGACATCATCGATGATGTATTAATTTATACTCTCAATAAGTTTATTGTGTTATGTTAATAATTATAAATAATATTTAATCGTATGAATATCTATAATTTTTGGTTGTAATATCATAAATCGTTTAATTAAATCATCAAAAAAGATTTCATAATAAATAAAAAAATTGTTGTTCAATAAATTATAATAACAAATATAAAAGTGTGAAAGTACGAAATTAAAATAAAAACATGTATCTAATTTCCCGTTCCAAAAATATACACATGGTATGAGGGGCTCTATCCCGTCTATTACATTATAGGCATTATAACTACTATTGGTCTTATATTACTATCCCTTGTCTCCTTCGCTCCTCGTTCTCTTTCTGCTTCAATACTGTTGGCTATTACGTTCCATTTTTCTACAGACTCCAGCATCTGTGGCACCATGTTCTCCGGGGTCAGATTGAGGCCGACCAACGCTGAGGCGCGCTGCCACTTTGTTTCCCAGGCGTCGCACCAGAATATAGTGTGAGCTGCGTCGTCTATATCATAGCCACAGAACCAACATACCGGGGACTGTAGCTTCTTATATTTAAACAGGTACCCCGCAAAGCACCCTTGGTCTGTTAGGGCTTGGGTCAGCCAGTAGTCCACTGAGCCGTGCTTCCTTCCCAGCCATTTACAGATGTCTGGGATCAGCCTGTGGGTCCACCTACCCTTCAACGAGCTGTCCCATCTCACTTGCCAGATTCTAAACTGGTTGTCCTCCACATGCAGGTCGATATTCGCTCCGGGGTCTTTTCTATGTTCATATTTCAGTCTACGCTCTTCTGCTTGTAGGTCGAAAGGCGGAATGCTGGTGACCACGTTAAGCGCATCTGTAAATACCGTACAATATACGCATTCTACTCGCAGAGTAATCCGCCTCTGTACCTTTATCAGTTCAGACTTACCTTTGGCACTCATTTTACCCACCCAAACTGGAGCTCTATACAGGAGCAACGAGTGAACCATGTTGAACATAAGAGTTCTTTTACCTTGCTTTGCCCCTCTAACGTTGGGCAATATCCAAGAGATCTTTTGAACTGCCATGTTCGCTTTTTCCGCTGTTCTCCTTGCATGGGCTGGGAATCACAGCTTACTATCCAATTGAACTCCTAGGTACTTTAGATCCTTGTCCGCTGTGATGTTCGTACCCTGAACTTGGAGGTTTAGTTGGTTGTGGTGTCGGGCATTGGTGATGACGATTGCTTCGGTCTTTTGTACTGCTATCTGTAGACCGGTTTCCTGCAGCTAGGATGGTATTCGATCTATCGATGGTGTCAAAATTGTTTCCAACTGCATTGTGTCTGCCCCTGGTGCGATTATTACCAAGTTACCTGCAAACGCCAGATATCTCGCTCCCACCGGTAGCCTTGTTCTAGGCAGGCCATCGTACAGTATATTCCACAATGTGGGACCCAGTACCGACCCTTGGGATACTCCACACGACGCTTGCATTGAGGTAAGCTCTTGGTTTGTTTGCGGGTAATATAGTACCCTGTCGATCAGGTAACTACTCACTAGTCGACGAATATATTGCGGGACGTCCTTGGTCATCATTGGATCTAGGATCTCCCATGAGGCCTAAATGCGTTCTTTATATCCAACGCGGCCATTCCCACTTTTTGTTTGGTTAATGATTCATCTACGAACTGTATTACCTGCCTTATCGCATCTATTGTACTCCGTCCTCTACGAAAGCCGAACTGGTTTGCCGACAGTCCTTCTTCGCCGTTGCCATCTAGGAGATCTCAAAGTCTGTTATCGATGACCTTCTCAAATAATTTCCCCGTGCAGTCGAGCCGGCATAGTGGCCGAAATGATTAGGAGGCTTATCGCCTTTTTTGATCAACACCAATCGGGCTCTCTTCCACGTCCTCCATACAACTATTGTACAGCCGGATCTCTGGCCTGCACCGGACTATGGTTTTTAGTGCTTCGTTTGTAATGCCGTCTAGACCTGGCGCCGTGCCATTTTTTATCTGGCGTGATGCAGTTCTGAATTCCTCTGCATCTATTCTTGGGATTTCTTCCCTGCTGACTAGGCAGTACCTAGAGCGCCATATGGGGACAGCAGGGAAGATACTTCCGTCTATGGTTTGTAGGCGATCATTTTGATTCGGGCCTACTGTGAATGGTCTTCTGATCAGCTTGCTCATTACTACCTTATGTGGCTTGCCCCAGGGTTCTTGCTCGACGAGATCGCACAATTTTTTCGAAATGTCTGACTTAGCTCTCTTAATGGCTTATTTGGACATTACCAGTCTAGCATTTCTCCGTTCCTCGTATTCTTCAGTACACTCCGTGTCTGCTTGCCTAGGCTTCTTTCTCGTATACCTTCTGCGTAAGTGTATTACTTTTTTCCTCATTTTGTTTATTTCTGTGGACCACCAGTGAATGGATCTTCTTTTGCGTGCAGAGTTGGGAGTATTCTCTCCGCGCTCTTGTATTACCTTCACTGCAAATTTATTTGAGCTTTTCTCCCGATTTGGGTCCTGTATATCCCACTGTGAAGGTGTGTTTAGAGATGAATTTTCCATCTGCTGTTGCTGTTTCTTTTGTCTACTTGGTATTCTGTTCCCTGTAGTCTGAGGGTTTATAGTTGAGGTCTCTGAGCGAGGGTTTGTCCTCGATTTTCCAATGGGTGATCTTAACTACTAGAACATCTGACACCATAGTTACATCTGCAATTGATTGGCGATCTCTGTGTTCAAATATTGGTTTATTTCTCTGATTGCAGACTATAAGATTAAGGAAAACTATCATGTCATACAACACTTCTCCTCTGCGGTTGTTTTTTATGGATTTCCATGTTGTATGCCAAGCATTAAAGTCATCGGCAACTACGACGGGGTTTCCGCTGCTCCTGATGCTGCTTTCATGTCTCACTATTAAGTCTAAGTATTCCGAGAATGTGGAGTTTGGTGACCAGTAACAGAAGTACAGTTTCTTGCCTCCCGTATCTATCCATCTGAACCCAGCTTTGATTTGTCCTATGGTGTCGACAGCGATATTTAGGTTGCAAATAATGGCGGCTTTCCCATCAGCATCTGGGTACTAATTGTGGCCACCCATGTAGTGGTATTCGGAAATGAATTCCCAGTCGATTGCCAATTCGGCTATTGTCTGGTGCAGCAAATCCTGTGCTGTTTAGATTTACTTGCAGTATTCTGGTCATTGTTTATTCTTGCATTGTGCTATTAATCGTTTGAAGAGAAGGTGAAAGAGAAGTGGCCCCCTTTGTCTTCAACACCATCTTCTTCGAACACGGCACATCTTGCTATTGTATCACATTCCTTTTTAGTATGTCCAGGTCTCCAGCAGTTGAGGCAGATTTCTGTAGTCGGGTCCGGTACATGCATTCTTCCTGTGCCCGAAGTCCAGACAAAGAGTGCCTCTGTTCATAGGAAAGCGTATTCTAATTGAACATGATGCCCAGCCAATACGCAGCCTCGGTCCTCTAGCTAATTCGTTGGCTATTCTAGCTGGGAGCAGGACCACTGCTGTTGCTTTTCCCCCATAACCGGGTTTGATCGTCTTTATGTTCTCCGTCGTCAGGGCGTTCGTTGTTCTAGAAGATATTGCAGCGGCTAGGTCTTCTGGAGTTGCGGCCAGGTCTAGGCTTCTTATCTCCACCACGACATTCATTGTTTTGATATAGGTTTCGGCTCCTATTGACTCCTCTGCATTGGTTCTGGCCTGGGAGGATTTATTTGTTTCCTTTTTTTAGCTTTAAGAGCAGATCTCCATTCATTGTACTCTTTGACATTTCCACTTCGTCTGTTAATCCGGAGTCGTTGAGACCCTTCTTCAGGCTTTTCAATGTGTTAGCATACGACTTTTCTTCAATTATCTTTATGATGATTGCTTCTGGTGCCACTTTGTCAAGCTTATGTCCAGTGCCTTTTTTCTTGACCGTCTTCCATTTGGCATTATTGGTTCCCTCCTGATTAGTAACCGGCAACTGATTCGCCTCTTGTTGATCCAAGTTTATCTCCTGTTTCCGTTTCATCCGATGCCTCTGAGCCGGACTCTTGGTTCTTTGTTCGGGGTTCTGTTCCTCCTCCTGGTGCATATCAACCTGCTCTTGTTTCATGGTATTGAGAAATGACTTATCATCTCAAGCAACCAACTTGTTCCGACAGTTTATAGGCTTCGGTTAACATGTTGTGTAGTGGTTTCCTGTTTGTGTCCAGTTTTTCAGCCAGTTCCGAGAGCTTGGAGATTGACTCTTTGATTCTGTCAGACCTCGTTGTCTGTTTGAGTCCGGAGATTGTGTCGATCTCCGCGAATAGTGTGTTCATTATAGCATTCTGAGCTTTAACCAGACTCTTCAGCTACGTTATTGAGTTAAGGAGACTATCGGTGGCTGTTGAAGAGTCCAGCAGTCACTGCTTCAGGGTGCTCCTTCCTTTTTCCGATCCTAGCGGTGCTGTCTCTGTTGTAACATTTTTCCTGTGTTCAGAGGGCACAGCATCCCGTTGAGGTTTCGGTTGGTTTTCTACCACAGTAGACTGGTTTGCATTTGTTTTTTTGGTTGATTGATGGGTGGCCTCCCCCAGAATCTGTGAGGACTGTCTAGGCAAAGAGTGGATTCCCCGGTAATACCGGTTCAACACCGTGAGTATAATTTTCAGTTTGTTTTGTTTCAATCTTTCAATCAGGTAGTAATCTGTGGGTTCACCGCTTCCACAGATGGTCGGTGCCTTGATGAGGGTTTATCGGGCCCCCGTGGGGTCCTGTCCGGTCCGTTGCTTCCTGATCGTGCTGCTTCTCGGGATGTGGTTTGCGGGCCGGTTGGAACGTACATATTTGGCGTGACCCCCCCCTTTTTTTCGGGTTGAATCGAAGACCGGGGGTGGAACCGCGTTAGCATTACTTTACCCCCCGGCCCTCATCGTTTATTAAAAATATCAACAACAAAACATAATATATATAACGAATTAGCGGCGGTGGGCCAATCTCCCACTCGCCAGTTATCACAAAAGACAATTTTACAAATGTACAACGGTTGAATGCCTTTGGCTACAAACGAAAAGTTAAATTAATTGTAGTTAATTGATTAGATGCTGCTTTTTGAGTTGCTGGATCGGTCGCTGAGACTGCTCACTGGCTCGGTTGGACGAAACGGATGGGAGCCGGTGCCCTGCCTCCAGCCGCCTGCCTAACGCGCTCCTCTTCCTCCTTGAGCGACAGGATGTTTTCGGTGGTTTTGTAAAACAACCTGAAGCCTTCTCCGGCGTTGTACAAGACGGTGGCCCTGGTCTCAGCGTCCTCCGGCAGAAGGTGAAAGTCGGGTCCGCATAAGAGCTCCGGGAGGTCTTCGGCGCTCGGCGGGTGTCCCAGGTGGGCGCCGAGTTCGTCCCAGAGGCCGTTCCAGCGAGGGCAGACGAAAATTGTGTGTTCTGCCGAATCGTTATGGTGTGGGCAGTGCCAGCACGCCGCGTTGGCCGCCCTGCCCATCCTGCTCAGGTACTGTTGGAAGCATCCGTGGTTTGAAAGGACCTGGGTCATGTGGAATGACAGGGGCACCCGGGGCACGGTCCTCTCCAACCACCTCCTGACGTCCTTCAGCAATCGCCGTGTCCAGGCTAGACGGGTACATAATACCTAGGTATATCAATATATCATTAACCATTAAGGGTATCGGAGCCGGTTTTTCAAATTTCCCTCAATTCCTTAAAATTAATATTATATATTTTATTTATTACTTTAATATTTATTATAATACATTATAAAAAATTTATTGCCCAATACTGTTATGCCTATTTGGCGGGGAGGGGTTGATTATATTTTTATCCGGTCCTTACCCAGCAACATCTAAACTTTCATTTCAAAAAATTATAAGATTAATCGTTTGACCTATCGACTTTAAACTACACAACACATTACAAGTACTCTCATCTACCCTCCCTGCATAGCCGTCCCAAGGGGGGGATGAGGCAAATGCCCTAAGTTGTCTAAAGTATTATGAATTTAGGGGGCGTACTATAAATGAATGATAAAAAGAAAAATTTGGTGTTTTTATTTTAAGTATTATTTTTTATTTTTATACTGTTATATCAAAGATGAGTACCTTTCAAATTATATACTACTAGCTGATCCCGTGCACTTCGTTGCCCTTAAAAAATTGTGATTGTTTAAATCTTTTTGGATGTAACTCGCAACAGTAAGTGTAATTCAGCCACCTCGAACAATGATACATTAAATAATACATTTGTCGTATCAAGTAACTTTTAATGCCCTAGACATATATATATATATATATAGCCGTACTCGCACGGCGTTGCCCGTGAAAAGAATTTCAAATCAAATAAACTTTACATTTTTATTATTGTTGTAAAACATAATAACATGTATCGAATGAAAAAAAATTATATTATAGAAAAATTTTTATTAATCATGTATTGAAATTTATCAATTTATTTTGCTGCCACAAAATAAAACAACATCAAATATCGTTTACAGAGAAGCTCTAACCCAATAAATTTAATGATATATGATTCAATATAATTTTATTTTTATTTTATTTTAGCCACCATTTTCAATAAACAACAACCAATAATAATAATTATTATTATAATAGCTTTAAAACCCATGGCAACTATTTTTAAACACAAATTTCTATCGTAAATCTCAAAATTCCAGTTTGAGCACCTCCCCTGGGTGATCAATTCACTTTTTAAATTAGCCTATATTCATCAATGATAATGTCGGCTTCTAATGGTAAAACAATTTTTAAAATCTGTCCAATAGTTTCGGAGCCTATTCAATACAAACAATCAAATCTTTCCTATTTATAATATTAGTATAGATTAAATATAAAATTATGTAAATGTTATGTTCAATCTTAATGCGACATACCTTCAATAATATATTCAATATTCATAAAAACAAATAAAAAAATTAATACTGATAAGTTATAAGACTACAAAAGTAATTTATTTACAAAAAATATGTTTTAAATATGTATACACAAGTAGAGTGTTTTTGTATGTTCTGGATCCCCCGCAAATCTAGGTAATCCAGATACCCCACCCACACTATAGACGCTGTGCCCAGCCTTCCCCCAACCCTCCCACCCATGTCTATCACATACATACCTGATCTACCCCTCCCATCAATATCTATCACTTACGTGCCTGACCTTACCCTTCCCCTTCTTATCCATACCTATCGCTTACATGCCAGGCCGTGCCCCTCCCCTACCAACAATGCATATCACTCACATCCCTAGATACCCCACCCAGCATATAGCTCTATACTATCACAAACGTGCCCGGCCGTGCCCCTCCCCTCTCATCACCATACCCCTCTCCACCCATCAATGTTTAGTACATACAACACCATACACTCCCCTACAATCAATACCTATACTTCATATTACTCTATAGTCTATACCCCATCCCCTCCCATCAATACCTAATGTATATCATACCAATATATTATCATACCCTCAAACATTCATACATTGATAGCTACATAAACAGTATACTTACATAATACATAATATACTATTCATCAATTATAAATAAATAAATAATATACCTCCATTACCCACACCTTGAAAATGATACTGTATACCTTCAAATATACATACATTGATAGCTACATAAATATTATACTTATATAATACATAATACAAATATATATATATATATTATAATTTTTTACCCACAACCAAAAAAATTATACTTCAAACTACTATATCAGTATACCATACTTCTAATAATACATACATTGATAGCTATAATAATAGTATTCTTACAAATTTCTTACTTATTTCTTAATAAATAATATACTAATATACTTCCATTACCCACACCTTGAAAATTATACCTCAGACTACTATGCCAATATATCATACTTCCAAATATTATATAAACCTACTTTTCCAAATATTCATTGCATATATAGTATATACTTACTGATACATTAAAAAAGTCATAAAGATCGGTCTTATGTAGGAAAGTATAACCCCCCTTCCCCTATACATATTCTCTATACTAACCACACCTCGAAAAGTATACTCTAAACTACTATACCTCTATATACACAGATATAGGATACATACTTTTTAATATATTAAGGTATGTGAATAGCTATAAGTGGAATACATAATATATAATAAACTACTCGTACTATTTAATTATCTAAATTATAGTTAGAAGAGAATATTACACATAGCTACATATTGTATTGCAACGTGATGAACTTTTATACCAACCCATGAATTACATAGGTACATACATTCATAGATTCTAAATAAATATAGATAAATTTCAATTTTTTTAAATAAAACTATTTTATTATCATACATAATATTAAGGTTACATACATTTAAATATATATATATATAGATTTATATATAGATATGTGAATACATAATCAAACATAGTCACATAAGTTTTTCAAATAATTTATTAGTTAAAAATAACAAGTTACTATATAATAACACAAATAACAAACAAAAAAACGATTAAAACGACTCCTAATCATATATCTATTATATAGTATAACATATAGTATAACCAGTAGTAATATTATAATAAATTAACATTTTTCTAACAGCTTGTTGTTATTAGATGTATGTGATTTCTCTTTCAGTCAAAAATCATTAGAAAAAGATAATTTAGGGATTAAGGTTTATGTGATATTTACTTTTACTGTCACACAACTTTTCTATAACTTAATTAAAGGTATTAATATATTACGAAATACGAGATATGGAAAATAGATATTTATCATACATCCTATAACTGTGGGATGTGGGTGGAATAGTATTATATCCAATTTTTTTTTTTTTTTTTAAATAAATATTGTGAAAAAAAACAGAAAAGAGAAAAAAATGACTCCGGAGAGTATTGAAGAGAGAATTGAACTCTCGACCTCCGTCTTACATTCCGGCGCTATAACCTAACTAAGCCACGGAGTCGTACTATTATAATATATGGATTAATCATAGATAATTATATAACCATATGATTTTCTATATATAATGATATATTATTTAAACATGATTTGATTTTATAATTATAATACATTATATTATATTAACTAAGGGTAATGGTTATCTATGTTTTCTAATATCATATT